CCCCAGCTATTTAGGTCCAGCGGCACCCAACCTCCAAAGGATGCGGCAGTATGCGGTATAGGTTATACCGCCGCATCCTTAGGAGGTTTCAAGTTTGCCTGCGAAAGGAAGTGGTGGTTTAAAATTGCACAAGACTAAATTTCCCAGTTTTCGCAGTCCAATCGTACTACTACACACCTAGAAGGAATGCCATTTTCAAGATGGCATTAAAGATGGCATTCCCTCGTCCTTAGGTCTACTTTTGGTATATTTTATGACCTGATGACAAAGGAATGCCAAGGAATGGACTGCCAATCTGAACCACCGGTGCGTTTCCAAGCCACCAAAACAAGGGCCGCACAGGCTCGTCTTTCAAGTCACGGATTGCATGCTGCCACTTTGGCTTGCATGCTGCTGCAACTTTAGGGGCGGTGAGCAGCTGGAGCAAAATGGCTGGTCGCGCCAACCAAAACAAGAGCTGGAGCAAAATGGCTGGTCGCGCCAACCAAAACAAGGCCCGCACACGCTCGTTGTTTTTTATGCGCAAGGCATTCGGAGCCCCGGCAAAAGTGCCTCGGAAGTACTGAGGTCTAATTAGGCACATTCCTTCCAGGTGGGTGGCAGTACCCATTCAAAAAATGCACAAAATAAAAACTGGGAAAATTGGGATGTTGTTTCGTGGAATTTAACCACCCGTTACCTCCTGTGACCGATAAGCCGAGCTTTGCCGAGCCTAGAGCTACCAGTAGCAGGACTTCCTTCTTTCCAAAAAAAAAAAAAAAAAGAAAGAAAAACAAAGAACTAAAGCGAGAGAGAGAGAGAGAGACATTGCAGAACACAGCGTGTTTCCAGGCATGCGAATGAATCAGGGGCGAAATGCCGCCCACTGCTTTTACTGCATCCCAGCAATACATTTGCCGGGATGCTCTCTCTCTCTCTCTCTCTCTCTCTCTCTCTCTGTGGGCACATTCGCTTTTCTTTTATGCTCTTTGTTTATCTTTTTTCTTTTTTTTGTGAAATGCCACTTTTGCCCGCCGTTTTCACAGCTACCAGGTATTGGACTTAGCACCCCCGGCAGCTGCAGAACGGGCAAGCCCGCGGCCCAGTATGGGCCAAGTACTGCTCGTTAAAAAAAAGAAAAAACACAGTCAGCTTTAACGAAAAGCCAGTTGTCTAGAAGGAAGCAGAGACTCGCAACCTGGTTGCCACTTCGGTGGGTAGTAGTACGATTGGACTGCGAAAACTGGGAAATTTAGTCTTGTTCAATTTTAAAAAAAGATGACCTTTTTTCATTTGTTCTGTTTGATGGGCTTTATCTGATGGTGGGAAGCCGGCAACGAGAGCCAGATTCCCATACCCCCAGTAACACACACACACACACACACACACACTACGAATCACAGACACACAGTACGAATCACACGCACACATAGACACACATAGCATGAATCTCACACACACACACACACTACGAATCACACACGCACAGACACACACACTACGAATCACACACACACACTACGAATCACACGCACACATAGTACGAATCAGAGAGAGAGAGAGAGAGAGAGAGAGAGAGAGTTGGCGAAAGAGAAACGGCCTGTTACACACACACACACACACTACGAATCAGAGAGAGAGAGAGAGAGAGAGAGAGAGAGAGAGAGAGAGAGAGAGTTGGCGAAAGAGAAACGGCCTGTTGATAGCAGACCTTAACGAGGCCATTCTCTTTTTCAGCAAGGAGAGTGAAAGAAGAGGAGGAGCCGTGTCCGTGCGCTACCCTGATTTCTCTGGTTGGATTGAAGCAAGAAAATCTCAGCTCCAGTCCTTTTCTGATAGAAGCGTCATCCTAGTGGAGTTTGAATAGGAAAAGCGCCGTACCTATTGTCTATCGCGTAGGAAGTTGCCCTTTACCCATGCTACTCATTACCGATCTATTTTTTGTTTTTTTCTTTCTTCAATTTGGACCATTTCCCGAGCTATGTGTGTCGTTCTTGTACAGGGGCCATGCTAATCTTCGCTGTATCGTTCCAATTTTAATGGATGTATGGAAGCCCTTACCGTGTCATCCTTGCGCAGGGCCATGGTAATTTTCTCTGTATCGTTCCAATTTGGATGGATGTCCCGAAGGACTCAATGCCCTTTCCCATTCTATTCAAGTTTGTGGCTTCATGCCAAAAAACGTTCATTTTCCTTTTTTCATTTGTTCTGTTTGATGGGCTTTATCTGATGGTGGGAAGCCAGCAACGAGAGCCAGATTCCCATACCCCCAGTAACAATTTTAGGCCCCCAGACCCTACCCCCCTTCGAAAGCCCAGCCGCAGGCACCAAAAAGTTACTGTGGTCCTTCGGGACATCCGGTAAAATTGAAACGATACAGAGAAGGGTAAATTAGCAAAATGGCCCCTGCACAAGGATGACACGCATAAATGGAGAAATGGTCCAAATTTTGAAGAACAAAGAACGCGATCTTTCTCTCTCTTCAGGTGAAGTACTGACTGTTGAATGAATGCTGCAGAACAAACAAAACTAAAAAAGAAGAAGAAGAAGAAGAAGAAGAAGAAGAAGAAGAAGAAGAAGAAGAAGTTACTGTGTTCTTCAGGACATCCGGTAAAATTGGAACGATATAGACAAGATTCTTTTTTTTTTTTTTTTAGACAAGATTCACACGGCCCCTGTGCTAAAATGACACGCATAAATAAAAAAATGGTCCAAATTAAGAAGGAAAAGAGAAGGGGAAAAAAAAAAGTCACTATGCCTCTGAATAGAACATCCCGGCGTTTTACACGAGCAAAACACTCGAGGGGACCCCAGGGGCAAAGTCCCGCTAGCAGCGTTGAGCTACCTCAACGCCTGAATGTGGACGTGTTTGTGGAGACGTGCAGTTCAGGAAACTCGACACCATTTCTGCACATCTCCACAAAAGCGTCCACATTCAGGCGTTGAGGTAGCTCAACGCTGCTACTAGTGGGGGGAAGAAGTTAGCTCAACGCTGCTACTAGTGGGACTTGGCCCCAGGGGAAGAAGGCAACAAAACACTCGAGGGGACCACGGCATTATGTTCGCGGGTCAGCTGATTGGTTTGTTGCTCTTGTTCTCGTTCCTCTTCCTCTGAACTTCTTTTTCTTTTTCCCTAAAAGCGCAAGGGCCTTCAGATATCATCGTTGAACTGCCCGGCCCCAGGATCTGACGAGTGTCTGGATTCGAAACGAGTGTCTCGATTCGAACCCGGGTCTATATCTCAACAGTTGTACCGACTGAGCTAGGCCCGTTGGTTGCTCTGCGTTTTTGACAATTACCTCATGAGAGGGATAGGTGATTGTCGGCCCAAACTTTCCCACCAATCCTAAGCGCTGAATCGAACAAGAAAGAATTTGCTCGGGCCTGTGGAATGGGAAAGGGCATTGAGTCCCTCGGGACATCCATTAAAATTGGAACGATACAGAGAAAATTACCATGGCCCTGCGCAAGGATGACACAGTAAGGGCTTCCATACATCATTTAAATTGGAACGATACAGCGAAGATTAGCATGGCCCCTGTACAAGAACGACACGCATAGCTCGGGAAATGGTCCAAATTGAAGAAAGAAAAAAACAAAAAATAGATCGGTAATGAGTAGCATGGGTAAAGGGCAACTTCCCACGCGATAGACAATAGGTACGGCGCTTTTCCTATTCAAACTCCACTAGGATGACGCTTCTATCAGAAAAGGACTGGAGCTGAGATTTTCTTGCTTCAATCCAACCAGAGAAATCAGGGTAGCGCACGGACACGGCTCCTCCTCTTCTTTCACTCTCCTTGCTGAAAAAGAGAATGGCCTCGTTAAGGTCTGCTATCAACAGGCCGTTTCTCTCTCTCTCTCTCTCTCTCTCTCTCTCTCTCTGATTCGTACTATGTGTGTGAGTGATTCGTAGTGTGTGTGTGTGTGTAACAGGCCGTTTCTCTTTCGCCAACTCTCTCTCTCTCTCTCTCGGATTCGTACTATGTGTGCGTGTGATTCGTAGTGTGTGTGTGTGTGATTCGTAGTGTGTGTGTGTGTGTGTGTGTGATTCGTAGTGTGTGTGTGTGTGTGTGTGTGTGTGTGTGTGAGATTCATGCTATGTGTGTCTATGTGTGCGTGTGATTCGTACTGTGTGTCTGTGATTCGTAGTGTGTGTGTGTGTGTGTGTGTGGTGTGTGATTCATGCTAAGTGTGTCTGTTGCTTTGCAAAAAGTGGGTTATCAACTGACAGACTTCGTTCTGCACAGGTCGTCATCGCTACCCCCCTTTTCAACTTTCAGACGGGTCCAACTTTCAGACGGGTGCACATTCCGCCTCACAATCCGCCTGATCACGTACGTTCTGAGTTTGTCTATTTCGGTGTTTGGCTATCAACTGTGCATATTCACTTGTATTTCGACCGCATATGGAATGCCCGACAGGAGGGCCTCCCAGCAGTCCTCGCAGTGAATTTCCCTTTTCTTTTCTCCCTTTCTTCGTCTTCATCATCGTCTTCTTCTTCGGTTTGCTTTCCGAGTATTCAATCTCATCTTTCCGTTTTTTTCCCGGCCTTTTCCTTTACAGACTCGTAGTCCCTCTCATGGCAACACACGACTTCATTCACTTCGCTATATGTTGAAAACGCCTTAGTGGTACTTCAACGAAGTAATCTTTCAAATCGGTAAATGAGAAGACTCGCCATCATTTACAGTGACGAGAGAGAGAGAGAGGGAGAGAGAGAGGTGGGGAGAAGGCATGGGAGGTAGAACAGGGAGCGAAGGGGCGCGGGGGAAGGGCGGCGGGGCCGGGGCTTTTGGGGGTTCGGGGAGGCGGGGAGACGTAGCGGGAGCACGTTCTCTGTTACTCTCTAGTCACCACAATACGAGACTACAGGGCATTCGCAGCACCAATGAGGAAGAAAATCGTTCACAGACCAAGCTAGTTAATGGCAGCAGAGGTCAGGCACGCAGCAACACAGCTCAAGGAGAATCCATCCGTCAAACCATCTCTTTTTCAAGCCGTCAACAGCAAATACACAGATCTCCATGGCTGCTTTATCGAATATGTCTTTCTCGACAGAGAAGTCATCGGCAAAACCGAGCCGCCATTTTGTCAATCCTTGCACGAACCGCTCAGTCCGAAGTAACCTATCTATAAGTACTGGAGAATTCACTGGACCAATAGCCCACCAGTCAAAATGAATGTCCCGCAATCATTCTAAAAAAAAAACAGAGACGACTTCCAAGCCAATTTCCCGCCATAAAAAATACTAACGCATCTACATCAGCTGAAATATCAACAATACCACCAGGTAGGCAGGGAAGCTAGCCATCGCAACAATCAACGGGCCAGGGAACCATCAAACCGTGGATGGCATTTCAGAGCCAACCAAATTATTATTCCAAAAGTCAAGTGTGGCAGGCACGGTGAAGGACAAGTAGAAAATCAAGCTCACTACAAGAATTCGAGACACGCATCCCAATACTTCCCTAGGGTTTCCACCCTCTTCCTACCTTCTTTCTCTCCTCTCCCTTCTCTCCTCTCCCTCCCTCCCTCCCTCCCTCCCTCCCTCCCTCTCAAAATCCCACTGGCCCGCCATTCATCTAGGGGAATGATCGGGAGAGAGATCCGGAAAAGGATGCACTTCGAGAAAATCCAGCTTTTTCGAAGCTCACTGTAAGCCGTACAACACCTGAAGAGACACAACGTGTCAATGCGAAACCGATCTCTTTCTCTTCTCGCTGAAATTCGAATCCCCCACACACCATCTTCAGTGCAATTCAATCGACCCGAACAGAACCCTCAATCTTGCGACAACCACATGAAATCGCGTCACAACCGATCCATTATAGTAAATCGGGCACTGCCGTCTTCCCCCGAACAGAACCTACGGTCATTCTAGCTGAAAATTAGAGGCAACATCCAATCTAAGATACAGCGACAACGACAACGACGGCACGTTCTATTCGGGGGAAGAGGGTATTGATCCACCGGAAAATTGCAGAATCTCGAACACTTCTGTCTATATTGTAGCATCGTGCAGGGTACTAGCTGCTAACAGGAGAGAGAAATGCCAGCATGGGGACCACCTCTCCCACGTTGCCCCTTTTGCTTTCTCCAACCCGGCACCACAAAGGACGGACGGCCAAGGAGGAGGCAATCAAACTACCGTCTTCAACCGAATAGAACGCCCGGTTATCATCGCTGCATCTGGACACCCCCAAAACAGCTATAATGCCCGGATGATCTATTCGAGTGAAGACGGCAGATGTCATCACCACGTCAGTCTAATTACGTGTCATCCGTATGCATCGGCATGATGCGACGATGCTCCGATGCGAGCCACGTGACATTTGCTTCGTATTCGACGATGGTATAAGACGCGAGCTCCAGTCCATGCCCAAATTCCCTCTCGTAAGGGTGGTGCATCGGCATGATGCGACGATGCATCGATACTACGATGCATCGATACTACGATGCATCGATGTGAGCCCCGCGACATTTGCTTCGTCGTATTATATAATAAAAGAACAAACTCCAATTCCGTGCCCAAACTCCCTCGTCAGGGTGGGGTGATAAAAGACCGGAATTCCAGCCCGCGCCCAAATATAGCCTCCTAGGGTATCGCGTCCCGCTCCATCAAGCTTCGAGAGCAGCACCCGCCCGTGGGTGGATGACCCCCCGTGACGCCAATCAACAAATCTCAATACCAAGACCGGCACACAACGATCTCCAACCCACAAACCGAAGACATCGACAGCACATATCGATCGCAATCACCGTAATACCCAGCAAATCCGAACAGACCGGTCGCCACACCCCTGCTAGCATGCGAGCTTCTGTTTCTCCTCGTACAACTCCTTCCGCGATGGAAGCGGAGAACGCCCACCTCGCCTCCTCCTACTTCCGCTGGTCCTTCCTGCATCAAAGATGAAGGTGCCATAAGGAACCCATACACGTTCCCTGACAAAAGGAGGCCGAGACATGTATCCCTTTCTGCCCTAAGCCACCCTCCTCCCACTCACATAAGTCGGATGGCGAAAGATCTGCCGAAGGGCTGGGTGGCTGCATGACGCTCCTCTAACCCTAAACAACGGTGCGTAACTGCTTACCTCCTGCCTGCTTGATTTGCCTACCTGCCTGCCTATCGGGCCTGGTCGCCCGACTGCCCGGTTGCCTCCCTGCCTGACTGCCGGCCTGCTTGCCTGCCTCCTTGCCTGCCCCCCTGCCGGCCTGTCTGGCGCAAGTCATAGGATGTGTGTGATGACAGATCGACCTTCTCATCATGAACAAACGCTTTGCCTGCAGCGTCAATACAGCAGACAAAGGCGACGCTCCGGTTTGAGAACAGCTCGCCATAAGCAGGAAGATTGACCGAACTCCACCAGCAATCAACCGAAGAAGGATTGATTGCGTCCGTGAGTAGGTCATCAGCCGGACGAGAACATGCGCCTGATTAAGAGGAGGAGGAGGACGACAACGAGGACGATCCCGATCGGAGCCCATTTTCGAATCAACGCCTGCCTGCTGAGATCCTTGGCCTTCATTTTGTACTGCTGCGTCTCTGCCTTCAAGTTATGAGATAAACGGGTGGCATGGTCCAGTTTCTCACCCACACCAAGAACATCCTGGATGTTCTTGGTCATGATCTGCTGGACTTCGTACAAATCATCATTCAGTTTCGCGAGATTCCTCTGGGTACGAGTGTCAAGATAAAGTTTCCTCGTCTTCTGAATGAAGGTATCGAACTTAATGAAGGCATAAGGACGAGCGACAGTCTCAATTTGAGACCTGTTGACTTTCTCAAATTCCTTCTGAAGCTCCTCTAAGTACTGATACGCTAGCTTCTTAGGGTACGAACGGTCGCAGAGTGTCAGGTAGCAAACCCCTCCCTCAATAATGTAGTGAAAAACGTACGCCCCGGTCTCATACGACATTCTCGATGCAGGGGGCGGCCCTTGAGACATCTTCTTAAACAACTCTTTCGCTTGTTTCTTGTACGCCTCCAAATCCTTCTGCTCCCTTCCGTCATCCAAACCTTCAGCGAGAGGCAACCCATCGGTCACCCTCGCAATAAGTGTAAGCTTCACCATTGCTCGTCTCTCTCTCTCTCTCTCTCTCTCTCTCTCTCTCTCTCTCTCTCTCTGTGTGTTTCCCCCCTCCCTTGCGGGAAGATCGTGCAGAATGGGAGAGGGGAAGACAAACAGTCAGACGTGTGACTGTTTGATGCTTCCTGACGTGGCAGATATCACAGACGCCACGTGGGAGTCAGACAAGCACCCACCGCTCCAGGAATCAAACGCGCTTCCTTCAACTCGTTCCCGCAGATAGCAGAACGAACTATGTTCGATCAGGAAAACACCCTAGAGAAGTACCCTAGGCGAGAGTTGGCACTTAGCGGCCATTCCCGCTTCTCAGAGATGATAATGGGACGCAAAGCGGTGCAACTGTGAAGGCAACCCCGGGATCAAGCCCTGCTGATTACGTACAAGACAGTTGTTAATCTTGTTAGCGAAGATGCCGCCGCTTGGACATGGTGAACTCGCAGCTGAGTCACTTCCCACGACCGGTCCACCAGACACAGCTGAGTCGCTTCCGACGACCGGTCCACCAGCCACCAAGCTGTCGATTCGGATGACAGCGAGTGAACATAAAGAACAAGACGACCGCGAGAAAAGACAAGCCAATCAATCCACAAATCGGCGATCCAATCAATCAACAATTCACATTATCTTCCAATCAACCAGTCACACCAACCTCCCAACCAATCAATCAAAGCAATCACTCAATCAATTCCCGAAAACAGGGTCCCTCATGCCGCACATGCACCTGCACGATCATCCGACATCTCTCCTCTGTCGGTCCACCCGTCGCCGCATAATTCACCCTCCCAATTTAACACAGTTTGGCCGCTTCGCACATCCGATTCCCTAGCTACTCCGTCGAACACCGGGACAATTCCTGTTCTCTCCAGACTCCTACTATGTTTTGCCCTGTCAGACAGATAGCGAGCCGAACCACGTCCGGCAACAGGTCGGTCGATTGATAGACAGCTCAATGTCCCCCAACTAACGACAATTACTGTGTCAATGTAAGGGGAGGAACCCATGCAGTCATGGAACAATGGTACGACCAACGGTCGGATGATGAATGTTTGATCGATGAATCGGTCGATCACCTGATTGATTGATTGGTTGATGGATCGGTCGATTCATTGATTACTGGATAGGGAGAGAATGATCTATTCTTAGAGTTGATGGCCGATATCCTATCCCCGCTCCGCGTGGCACCTCTCAAGGCCCTAACTGGATTAATCTCAGAAACAACCACCCACCGCTGGAAACCACCGGTCAGGAATTCCAGGAATTCTACACGCCGCCCCTGTTCACCGTGGGCCAGGTGCTCTCGCCTATCTCAAGACGTCCTCGTCGCCACGTGTCCGGTCAGTTACCTCTCCTCCTCGCTGGAAGCTAATGCGGATGGGACGACCGGAAACAGAGAGAGGAAGCGGGGGCAGATACCAACAGACGGGGATGACCTGTCTCCCGTGTCCTATCCTCTGTATGGATGGACAGACCAATTCGTCTGCCCGATAAACCTTCCCGCTCTCCGCTGTTTGTGGCCGGACTTCCCGCCCGCGGTGCGCATCACAACACTACCGCCACTCCTTTCTGGCTGTGGAGGGCGCGGAAACTCCTTCCCGACTTTTCGAGAACGACGAGTTTGACCGCGTACCTCCCTATTTTCCTACTCTCATTCCCACTTCTTTTCCCAGCGACCGAACCCGACCGAACCCCACCAAAACCCAAAAAAATAGGGGTAGAAGAAAATCGTCCCCAACCCACGTGTGACAAGGGCACCGTCTGTCACTTCACGAGGCGAACTACCGGTCGGCGAAAATTTACCATTTGCTACCTAGGGTCGCCTTACTGCGTCCCTATTCGGTAGGGCACTCGTGCTCGGAGGAATTTTCTGTTTTCTGGGAAAACACGCGTGGATACCACGAGCAACGACGGTTGTGATGAAATGGTGGAAACAAGAGATGCTCAGCATAGGACCCCAACCTACGGCTTGGATCGCGCGTCCTGATTCTTCGAAAATGGCACTCGCCGACGGGCGGTAGCTCTTTTTTGTTCCCTGTTTTTTTTTTGAAAACTCAGTCCCCTGCTAGGAGAGGTGGTAAGACCACCCCCCCCTACTACCAGTAGCTCAGTCGGTAAGGCACACGAATTTGCATTCGAAGTTGAGTGCTGGAATCCATTCCATTCCTTCAAGTACCCAGACTGGGTGCCTTACCATCTACAGATAGCGCTCTGGCCCCCTAGGCCAGCATTAGCAGGACCTTGGCCACTATTGTCGGGTGCTATGCAACAGCTATACTGGCTATTAGACACCGCTTGGGGGGTGGCGCGGGGGGTGGCGGGGGGGGGGGGGGGGGGGGGGGGAGGTGCAGTGATGCCCACAGTGCTCGGGACTACTGAGTGACGACTGCCCATTTCCACATCAACGTGCCGAAGGGCTGGTACAGCTTCGCTCTCGCACCAACACTGTGGCACAGACCTGAACCATGGTGTGCGTCTCCTTGTATTGTACACGCAGTTGTGGGTCCTCCCGTCGTGATCAGACACGAGTGGAAACGAGTGGAAACAAATGCATACGTGGCACTTGGCCTGCGACCTGCGGCAAAAAAGAACTACTGAAAAAGCGAAAGAAGGCAACCCCCGCCCCTGCCCCTAAAAAGAACGTGTTTTTTTTCTTTTTTTTTTTGTCATGTCCACTGGGCCGTATATCAACACCCATGCCCTGATTGCCACAAAGACCCGCCGCGACTTTCAAAAAAGTGCCGAATCATGCCCCTCCTGACGGGCAAGTGGGATGCCATTTCACTTTTCGGACCCATCTGGGCCAGGTCCGCCCAACGCAGTTCTTCATGGTTCTCCCCAAAAAGAAAAGTAGCGGGATAAGACCCTTAGGGCCTCGTTAGACCTTCCTTGGAAATCCGATTTTTAGGGAATCACCAAATTCCTTGGACAAATGTGAAAACGCTACGGAGATATTTCCTTTGGTTCCTCAGAATCGCGAGCCCAAGCGTCCTTGGATTCAAGGGGTCCTCGCGGGGTCCCTTGGGCTCAAGGAGCCGCAATTGACGGATCGTCGTGGAGCATGCATCTACACCAAAATTTGGAGTTTTTCGTGGTGCACAGGTCGTCCGTGGTCCAGACAGGCGGACACCGCCAGCCTCCAGTAGGGGACGAGCCTCCAACGGTGTTCTGTCATTACCGCTGGCGCGTAAAGGCGTGGCCCCTTGGGGGTGGTTCTGCAGCTCCGAGGCGGTTCATGTGGCGGGCTTCTCCTTGTGCACGTTGTCGGGCGTGGTGTCCAACGGTCGACTTTTTTGATTTTTTTACCGCCAATGTGTGAGCAGTGCTGGCCGACTGCAGTTCTCCTTGGCAGCGTGCATTGTCGGGCATTGACAGGCGCACGGGAGCAAGCTTCGGTCGATGCACTCCTCGCCTGCTGCGATTCATGGCAGACACTCCGGCGGGTCCCACTCCTGCTGCTTGCCACTCTTCTCCTGCTCCTTGTGGTCTTGTTGCGCGTGTGTGTCATCGTGCGGGGTCCGGGGAGCAGACGAAAACGACGCATAGCAAGGAAGGCAACAATGGAAAGGCAGGAAACCTCCAGAGGACTGCACAGACGTGCGATCGACTTCTCCACTCCAAACCCGGCGGTAGCGGCACGTCTAGCGCCCGCGTATGGCCCCACGTTGTATAGTCATCTGCCACCACACGAGCAGCCTAACTGCCGGATCCGGAAGAGGAGTGGCTGGAGGATCTGTCCCACACTCTTCCACCTTGGGGACCGGATCTACACAGGAGTGGATGGGCAGCCATTGCCGACAAAAGGGAGGCAGAGAGAAGTCGCCACTCGTTCTCAGCAATGCTGGAGGAGGGTATCGATGGAGGCGGTTCAGAGATCATGGACGGATTTCGGTTTGTCAAGCGGGACTGCTGCACCGGTTACGAACAGTTGTGCATCAAGCCACGTCGGGCAAACGTCTCTGCATGGGGCGGGAGTGGCGGGGCATGGCGGAAGGTCGTGTCCGATGGATGGCAACGCAGATGGGTGCCGTCCGGCGCCCTCCTTCTCTCGAGGCGCGGGAACATCTGGCAACAAGGCGACGATAGTGTTAACCCCCCACTCGGCAACGCCTTCACCCCCACCACTTTGGAGGGTGGCTGCACCAACGGCGAACATGACCACTACCCCGCTGGAAGAAATTGGCAGGCACGTGTGGGAGTCCTGTCGCCAATAAATGCACGGACCGACTGCTGAGAACATAACGAACAGGGTGTCAAGAATGCGTGTTGGAAGCAATGTGGATGCGGACAACACCCGGAGGGCGACTGGTGACAAATCTTCAAATTTTCATTGCGAGGACGAAGCGGACGATTCGGAAGAGTTGGAGATTCGACTCCTGGGCGTGCATGGTAGAGGGAGGGGTGGATGCGAGCGCCAACAAAATCGGGGATCCCGTGGTGGTCGAATATCGAAGGCACCTGCAGGCGACAAGGGTGGCAAACATCCGACTTGGAGTGTCGAGGAGATGTTGAAGCTCGCTCGGGCGAAGCGGGATTGCCAAGCTCATTTCGACGGAATGCTGCACAACAACGACCGCATGCGCAACAGGGAATGGAAGTTGCAGGGCCTGCAAAAGCATTTGGTGGAGGTGGGCAGGAAGAGTACGACCGATGACATCAGGAAGAAGTGGGATAACCTCTTCCAGCAGTATAAAAAGGTGCAACGATACCAGAATGCCTCCGGGGGGAAGAACTTCTTCAACTTAACGCCTGCGTTGAGAACGGGAGAGGTCTTCAACTTCCGAATGGATGAGCGAGTGTACCTTAAGATCGACAATAGATGAAGCCTCTCCCCAGGTGCTAGTGGTGTCCGCTCTTATCAGCACCTCTAACACTAGGGGGGGAAGTTGTTTAAAAA